GCACTACAGTTCACAGGAAGGTGGGTTTGGGGGAGGAGTCCTGTCAGAGACCCAATGGTGTGCAGTGGTTAGAGTGTCAGACTGGGAATGGAGAGACCTAGGTTCAAATCCCTGTTCACCTGTGAAGCTCATTCAATGATCTCGGACTAGTCACTATTCATAGCCAACCTAACCTACTTCACACAGTTGTTGTGAGGACGAAAAGGAGGAGGGGAGAACGCTGTGTGCTTCCGCTGACTCTTTGGTTGAAGGACAGGTTGAAAGTGTAATAGACACCGGCAATGCTCCCTCTAAGCCGTGGAGTCTTAGCAAAAATTCTCCTTTGTGAGCTACTGGCATTAAAGTTGTGAGCGAGCCATTGGACTACTGCATAAATTAGTTTGCTCTGGAGCCCTCCTTCCTGAGCTAAGACAAAAATGTGTGAGCCGGAGGCTAAAAAACTGTGAGCTGGCTCACGCTAACTCAGCTTAGAGGGAACACTGGACACCGGTCATCTGAAGAAACAGTGACAGGGCAACCTTGGTTCATTTGGTGGGTGCTTGTTACTCTCAAAGTGACATAGTTCTTACCAGGGCTTTTTTTGTAGAAAAAGCCCAGCAGGAACGTATTAGCATAATAGGCCACACCCAACAGCAGAAACTCATTAGCAAATTAGTCCCCACCCCTGACAGCACAGCTCATTAGCATATTAGGCCACACACCCCTATGCCTTCCCTTGGCTTGCCTGGGCCCCAAGCCGGCCCTTGGACAAGCTGGGGGCCCTGGCCCACCCGCCTCAGAGCCGCCGGGGGGTCGCTCTCCAGGCCTTCCCTCTGTAGCCACGCACGCAGAAGTTTTGGCTGTAGTGGGCGTGGCCAACTCTGAAGCTAGCCGGAACTCCGTTCCTGTGCGTTCCTGCCCAAAAATAGCCCTGGTTCTTACCCATCATTGTCTCTGTTTTGTTAAGCCAAGAGCCACCTGGAAGCAAACTTATTTCCCCCCTAATATGGCATTATCTACTTTCAAAGTCAATTAGCCCATATTTTCAATGTGCTACAGAGAGAGCTTTTGCTTCGTTTCTAACGCTGCAAGGTTGCCTGCAGACAGAACAGCCCTGGCATGCTTGAATCCCTCTGTCTTGATCAATGCCAGGCACTGCTTCTGCCACTGAGTGATGGTGAGGAGAGGATGCAGTTTTGGGAGGGATCAGCTTGGACACTAGAAAGGAAGCCAGTCAGCAGCTTGCATGGTGCTGTCTGAAGTGTCCCCTGCCCCGCTTACTGGTAAGGGTGGGAATTCCACCTCCCCCTTGAATGCCCTGCAGTAGTAACCAGTATTCCCTCTAAGGTGAGTTAGTGTGAGCTAGCTCACAACTTTTTAGCCCCCGGCTCACACATTTTTGTTTTCGCTCAGGAAGGATGGCTCCAGAGCAAACTAATTTATACCGTAGCCAAATCGCTCGCTCGCAACTTTAATGCCAGGAGCTCACAAAGTAGAATTTTTGCTCACAGGACTCAACAGCTTAGAGGGAACATTGGTAGTAACCCCCCATAGCCACTATTGCTCAACATTGACCATTGAACGTGTCTAGTGCGATGTTCCTTAAGAGATGCTCCATTCATATATATGTAATTATTGGATGTTGCAGTCAGCAAATAACCCAATTACGTATGAACCATATCCACAGACCTGAAGATGCACAATATTACATCTGCCACAGCTCTATAATTTAATCATTCCTCTGCTGCGTAGCTACAGTCCATCTGACTCCAGTCTTTGCTCAGCTATATCACTTTATTGAAAACAGATATTCAAATATAACAGTGGGGTTTTTTAAATAAAAAAGCAACCAACCAGAGGGTAAAATAATGAAATGCACAAGGCTGAAATAGCTTCCATTTTCTCATATGCAAATATTTGCTAAGAGTCATGCAATGCTAAATCTCATTCATTTGAATATAACTTGGCAGATACATAAACAGGCTGAATAGCAGTCTGACTTCCCTTCCCCGTTCACCAAGGATTGGTCTATTCATCAGTTAACTATGGGGTATTTGTAACAGTCTGCATTCCTTCACCACTATCACTAAAACCAATTTTTATTATATACCCATAAATATGCAGCACAGCAAATCAATATCTAGCCTAGACATTTTTTAAACGGTAGACAAATTCATGGTGGGTAGGTCTATCTGTGGCTTAATATCCCTGATGGAAACTCCCAGGTCCATGTGTACCTCTGAGTACTATAGATAAGGGGGAACAGAGCAAGACCCTTCCTGTATTTTTTCAGAGCATGGAGGCATCTGGCTGTCCATTCTTGGCAAGATGGTTGTTGGGACAGATGGACCTTAGTCTGATCTGGTAAGGAAAGTCTTTATCTTCTTGTGTTTTTATTCATTGTACATTTTCCACCTAAGGGGAGTGAACTTCTATATTAAGGCACATATCCTTAACACTGTGTGAACAGGGTCCCTGTTCAAGAGGTCTTCCAGGGCAAAAGCCAGTTCTGGGAGGAGATAAACAGGGAAGGAGGAAACTCAAGGTCTCACTACACATTATCCAGTCCTTCTGTTGTGTTTGGGTCCACCATGAGGACTTCCTATAAGATATGTGTTGCAAATTCATCACTGGGGAAACCAGTTTCCAGACATGTGATGGAGAGGGTCTTTAAACCTCCCCCTCCATGCTATTTTCCCAACATGAAACAGCCCCAGCCTAGGCTGGCTACTTACCCCATTGGAGGGCTCCACATATACTGATGGGGTTCATGGGGTACATATAGGCTTCCCAAGTGGAGCAAAAAGCAACCCCCTTTGGCCATTTCAGGTCATGAAATGGACGGGATGACTGAAACATCTTCTTTTCACATGTCATGGTTGCAGTCCAAGTGGTACCCCCCTATGCC